TGGAGCATCCGGAGACTGCTCCTCGAGGGGTGGGGGTGGGGGGTACTGTCAGGGACCAGAACACCTCCAGCTGGCACTGTGGTGCTGGAACCAGATCCTGCAGTTCCAGTGCTCACCTGCAGGTGTCTCCAAGCAGCCAGTAGCTGTCAGGGACCTGAGCACCTCCAGGTGGCACTGTAATGCTGGAACCAGGTCCTGCAGTTCTAGTGCTTACCTGCAGGTGTTCCAGCAATTAGTCACCACCTGGTGCTGATCTGGGACGGTATTTAGCCTCTCCTAGCAGTGAGGCCTGTGGCTCAGTATTCTTGCCATATCCTGTAGCCTGCATCCTGTTCCTGACTTGAACCCTGACTCTGACCTGACTCCTGACTCTTACCCCTGAGGTCTCCCGATCTGTGGCTCCCCTCTTGTCTTGCTTCTCAGGGTTTACACTGTTATCTCCGGTGTGTTATTTGTATTAGTTAGGCTTTTATATGATACTTGCGGGTGTTGGTGAGGTTGCTTATGGTGTGGTGTTTTTGGTGTAGCTAATAAACTATAGTTCATAAGCATTGTTTTGGTGTGGTCACGTATTTGGTGCACCTGTATAGATACCTGCACACGTTGTGGGGACACCCGTGCATGGTATCGTGAAAGGTACTGATGTTGGATGAGAAGGCCTTGCTCGCAGTCTTCGCTCTAATTCATCCCAAAGGTGTTCTATCTGGTTGAGGTCAGGACTCTGTGGAGGCCAGTCAAGTTCCCCCACCCCAAACTAGCTCATCTTGTCTTTATGGACCTTGCTTTGTGCACTGGTGCACAGTCATGTTGGAACAGGAAGGGACCATCCCCACACTCTTCCCACAAGGCTGAGAGCATGACATTGTCCAAAATGTCTTGGTATGCTGATGCCTTAAGAGTTCCCTTCACTGGAACTAAGGGGCCAAGCCCAGCCCCTGAAAAACAACCCCACACCATATTACCCCCTCCACCAAACGTAACAATTAGCACAATGCAGTCAGGCAAGTACCGTTCTCCTGGCAACTGCCAAACCCAGACACATCCATCAGATTGCCAGACAGAGAAGCATGATTCCTCACTCCAGAGAACACGTCTCCACTTCTCTCCAGTGGCTGCGTTTTACACCACTGCATCCAACGCTTTGCATTGCGCTTGGTGATGTAAGGCTTGGATGCAGCTGTTTGGCCAGTGAAATCCATTCCATGAAGCTCTCTATGCACTGTTGTTGCCACACGAAGTTTGGAGGTCTGTAGCTATTGACTCTGCAGACAGTTGGTGACTTCTGTGCACTGTTCGCTTCAGCATGCGTTGACCCCACTCTGTCATTTTACGTGGCCTACCACTTCGTGGCTGAGTTGCTGTTGTTCCCAGTTGCTTCCACATTATTATAATACCACTAACAGTTGACCGTGGAATATTTAGTAGCAAGGAAATCTCACGGAACACCTGAATCCAATGATTTGGAGGGGTATCCCAATATAGTGTGTGTATATATATATATAGTATATATATATATTGCCAAAAGTATTGGGACACCTGCCTTTACACTTTAACTTTAATGGCATTCCAGTCTTAGTCCGTAGTGTTCAATATTGAGTTGACCCACCCTTTGCAGCTAGGACAGCTTCAACTCTTCTGGGAAGGCTGTCGACAAGGTTTAGGAGTGTGTCTATGAGAATGTTTGACCATTCTTCCAGAAGTGCAATTGTGAGGTCAGGTACTGATGTTGGACGAGAAGGGCTGGCTCGCAGTCTCCGCTGTAATGCATCCCAAAGGTGTTCTATTGGGTTCAATGGGAGTTATTGTAGGGACCTGTTATTGCTTTTGGTACATGTGAAACAGCAACATAAACACTTGAACAGCCTAAAGAGGTCTAACCAGCCCACCAAAATCTCTACACAACAGAATCACCTATAAAGAGATACACTTATAGGTCCAGCGCCAGCTAACATATCTATAATAGAATTCAGAGGGCAGTTTATAATGTATGCATGAACCCATTGCCCTATGGCACTGTGTTGCCTTAACTATGTTTAGATTTTTTAAATGTTCTGCATACATTGCCAGTGTGCAGGTAACACAGGGAAAGCATGTGCAATCACATCAGAGTTTCTAACCAGCCAAATTGATTGGTGAGGGCAGCTGAATCTGGTAAATGTTATCTCATTTCTATAGGTTACTTAAACCTGCCCATCTTGTCCATTTAACCCTACCCTCTGGTCCGTTCCCAAAGTGATCTCCAATTGGTGAATATTTCAGCTCCTGCACGGTGTTAATGAACCAAACCCCAAGCTGCATACATCACATTTTATTTCTTGATGTGAAAGATGAATCATAATAACCATAGGTACTACTTAAGTATGGCTATTAAAAGCTGAGTATACATAAAAATAATATCCAACTTGTGAATTGAACATTTTCTTTATTAAAAGACAAAAATTCCCTTAGCTACTCGCTTGTTAATTGGTCTAATTAGATGGTAGGAAGGAGAAAAATAAGACGTGTCATCGGATTAGCATCTTAACATCTGTTACCTCCCCTTGCATAGCGAGTCCGTACATTGTCCTGAATGGCACCAACAACTACTGATCTGTAAAGTGAAATTATTACACAGCGCAAGGAAAAAGAGACAAGTCTGCTTCTGGCAATGAAGAATGCCTGGCAACTTATACTCTCAGTCCTGTTGTCTTTTCTTCATCAATGCTTAGCAGGTATGTAAAATTATTTTACTTCACCAGTGTACGACAGAGAGAAACAGACAGGCTCTGATAGCAAGACAACTAATCCATCTTTGTCAAGCATGTGTTTTGTAATGGATTTTAATGTCTTCAGTTCAAGTGGCCTGTCCTACCCTTCAACAGATCAAAACCTTATTGTCTGAATACATCCTTCTGTCATATTATTACTTAGAAATATCGTTGTTCAAGGCAACACGTATAAAAGGCAATGGAGTTTTTTGTTAAGAAAAAGTTTTAAATTAGTGTAGCAGGTATGCTTAAATAGTTGGCAATGAACATGTTCATCATACGACAATGAACATGCTTCATGCATACAGATGCTAAAATAGTAAATTTAATTTGCTAGTAACCTTTATTGTACTACTATTTTTCTGTTAATCACTGGATTTATTTTCCAGTATCAAAGGGCAACTGTTTAAGGATAGCACTCGATGAGTTACTTTGTTAATTGAACACAAAGTGTAAACTTATGCCTGCGGTTATGCATACAGTCGTTAAATGTGTGTATTTTATGTAGTTGCTGAAAAATAGATAGGGGGAATTATAATAATTGTTATGATTTGACAGCTTTTTTCTAGGGCATATGTACCTGTTTATACTATACAGTATATTCATAAAAATGTTAGAAATGTGTTTTGTGTGGTCTAATAACATTTAAAACAGATTATTACGTCTGTCTGGAGAATGCTAATTCTATAAATGACACATTCTATTCTGTTAAAAAAACCAGACTACCTTTCGGTGCCTTATACAGTATATTACAATTATGGGATTGTATAATATAACATCAAGAAAGAAAATTATTTTCATCCTTGTTTGTTGTGGCTTATAAAGATGAATTGTACTTTAGGTACAGAAGTGAACTGGTGGCACAGAAAATGTCTTACCACTTACAGATGCACAGATCCATTCAGTCATATCTCTGAATTATTAAAATGGTTTTATTTTATATATTACATAAATGTCATGAGTTTTTTTTTATAAAAAATAATGTCATATGTCATAGTGGTAAAATAATATTACTGTGGAAGTTTAGAGATAGCAATGTTAAAGTAAAAGTACTGTAGAAAACAGTACAAAAGCTCCAGATCTGGGTGTGTCCTGTGCTGCTACTTTAGTTTCCCCAGCAGAATTTTAGAGCCTTATGCATGTGCTTGATTATAGTACAGTTTCAGCAAACCTCTCTAGAATTAATAGGGTAACTGGAAGTCTCTTGATGCTTGATGAACAGGACAAACTTGTTGATGGAACCCCTTGACAGCCCGGCATTGACATCATGAAGTCACAAGTGTGACATACATGTCTTAATAATCTACTACTTCCATATTAGAAATATATGTCACAGGAAGTGGGAATACTTACCCCATAACCCCTTGTAGCTGTAAAAGTTCTCCATTGAATCCCACCAAGTAACCAGTGGTTACCCAGGTGGTAGGGAGCATACAGAGGGGTAGAATTTCAGATTGCAATACAAGCATAGCTGGTTATTATCATGCAGGACTATGTGGTAAAAGGCTTGTATCGAGTTTATAAAACATTAAAGCATCACTTCCTGTCTCGGTGACAATTGTAACCAGGACAAATAGAGATTGTGAATCTTCCTAAAGAAGACAAAGACGCTAAAAAAATGTAAGAGGTATTCTAATCGTTTACTACCCTCTCCAACACCAAAGAGAATGTTTTGACTATATATACACTTGAAATAAAATGTGATTTTAAAAAAAGCTGTTCTCCACAGAAAAAAAAAGAAACCTATTTGACCAAATAACCTTATTTATTATTACTCTTTTGTAAAGCACTGAGCAAATTGTTGACACTATATAAATCCTGTATACAAATAATAATAATTATTTTAAAAAAACAATACAACCTTTTCTGTAAGAAAATTAGGTGCCCATAGGCCTCTAACTACTGTTAACACTTGCAGGCTTTTGAACGACTAGTGCCTTATTGTCCTCTGTATACCGTACCTTATGAAGGTTGAGAAAAAGCTTCTGATGATGCTGAAGTTAGACCTGTTTTTTTTTTTTACATTATTGTTTAAGTATGGGACACAATGTTTTTCATTTCCATAAACATTTGTTAAGCACTTGCAATGTGCCTTTGAACTTGCTAGAAAATTTGACTGGTCCAAAAAGAGTTAATTCTTATGGCCCAGCATCTTTGCAACTACCTGCAACTCCTTACATAATCTTTTATGTAGCTGCTGGGTGTAGGCGAAGCAGCTCTTAGTCTGCTGGGGCTGCTGACATCACATCAAAGATGGCGGCATCCAGAAGCAGTAGAGCTTTTGCATGTTTACACAAGACAGGCTTTTTACAGGTAATAACTTGCCTTACATACATTCAATGCAATATAGTATTTTAGGGAGGTTGTTATTGGTCTGATAACATGGTCTCTTTAAATTCACTTACTGCTGATTGACTCACTGCCTTTGCTGAACGTCTGTTCCAACTACTCTTTTGGTACAGTAATACTTTTTAAGCTTAGTTTTGAATTTTCCTCCTGATATTCTGAGGCCATGCCATATTTCATATTGACCATACTCCTCTTCTAAACTTTATGCACACCATTAATGTATTTAAAGGTCTCAGTCAGGTCCCCCTATCATTTCTTTCATCAACTCTTTACATATTATGTTCCTTTAGTCTATGTTGATGTGTTTAATCTCTCAGACCTTTCATCGTTTTTTATGCCCATCACTGGACTCTTTATCTTATTATTATCTTTTTGTAAATGAGTTCCTTAGAACTGGACACAGTATTTTTTATAAAACTCTACATAGTGGAGTCAGGGACTCCTTTCTTCTGGTCATTTCCAGAATGTTTGCTAATTTTTCAATAGCCCGGAAATTACCACCCCCAAATATTTTCCTTCTGCATTTTTGACCAACATTGCAGCCCCAATTGTCTACTCTGTGTAAGGATACTTTTAACTTAAGTGCATCACTTTGCATTCAAGTGCAGAAAGAACTGGGTTCTTCAATAAAATGTTTCTTTGCTAGCTTTTAGACAATTCCATATATATACTTATTTGAGTTTGTTTCAGTTGATTGATTTGAAATCTGTATTCATTTTTATTTATTGCAGTGCAAACGAATTATGCTCCCTATTTTTATGACAATGGACCTGGAAGCACCAATGGAAACATGGCCCTTCTGAGCCTCTCTGAAGACACTCCAGTTGGTCAGTACAGTAACTATGATGTGTTATTCTTCTTTGCATTTCAGATCACATAAGGTAATGCTAGATGAGAATGGTTCATTCTAGGTTGTGAATCTGTTAACCTGCCATCATTTTTGTTCAGTGTTCGGAAGCAGCATATCTGTTAACATGCACAAAACACATAAATATTTATGAACCTAACGGCAACGCTAAAGCTGTGATTTTTTTAAAGGTCTGCTGCAATTAGAATTTTCAAGTGTGTCTATTATTGTCTGTTGCTTAGCAGAAAGTAGTATTAAATATATATTTTGCTTAAAATCCGAACAGCTTTTTGCTAAAAAAAAAAGGATTTAACAAAATTTTGCTGTTTATCATGTTAGCAGAGCACTGATTTTAAATGAAACCACAGTCAGGATAAAGCCAGGCTGGCAAATTTACTTAATATACATTTACAACATTTTTAGTTGTGAGCTTACAGAAAAATCTTTTGTGTACTTATGTTTTTTTAATGCTTTTGGGGCCAATACCTAGGTCATTGTAGTGATTTATTGATAGCATTATTGTTGTGATTAGTTTTATCGCTGTCATAGTTTTTTGGTGTGCCAGAGGTTTTGGGTGTGTCTTTGGATTAGCTTCAAGTTAAATGTTAGATTTATGAGTTGGGTTTAGGTTGTGGGTTAGATTTAGGGTTATATTGAAATTAGAGGTGCACCGAAATGAAAATTTTAAAACAGACACGAAACCAGAATGAAAAAAAATGTCAGACCGAAACCGAAAATGTTTTTTTTCTAACTTTTTCAAAATCTCTTTTTCTGCATCCCCTGTTATGAATGAACATGAATCGTCTAGGCTGAGTGTTCCTGTTAATTTATAACATGTGGATATAGTATGTTTACCATGTGCACAATCATGAATGAACAGGAAGTGATGTAGATCACTTCCCATTCATTCATAATTGAGGATATAGTAAACATACTACAGTATCTCACAGAAGTGAGCACACCCCTCATATTTTATTATATTAGTTCATGTGACGACACAGAAGAAATTACACTTTGCTACAATGTGCAGCACGGTGGCCAAGACCATACAGTGGTTTAACAGGACAGGTTCCACTCAGAACAGGCCTCGACCAAAGAAGTTGAGTGCACGTGCTCAGCGTCATATCCAGAGGTTGTCTTTGGGAAATGTACTCACTTCTGTGAGATACTCTATGTCCTCAATTATTTACAAACACTCAGTGATCACTGATTACTGAGTGTTTGTACTCGCTCTCCTTCCTGACAGCTGTCACAGGAGGCTGAGCGAGCTGTGCGGGGAGGAGAGCTTGATCTGACAGCTGACTCCTCCCTTGCACCCCCGGCCCGCCTCCTGTGACAGCGCTGGCTGTCTCCGCCCACACAGCCGGTCTCCTGATCTGTGACAGGAGGCTGAGAGACGCCGGCCGCTCACAGCGCTCTCCTCCCGCAGCGCTCTGCCTCCTATGACAGTTTCTCTACTCCCTGTCGGGCCACAGAGCAGCGCACAGCGGGGAGGAGAGAAAGAACTGATGCAGAAAAAGGGCACTTTCGGCATTTTGCCAACATTGACATTTTCGGACGATATGTTTCGGCGGCCGATATATCGGTGCATCCCTAATTGTAATGGCTAGACATATGCATCAGCAAAGGATTAGTTTTGTTTCGTTCCGTTTTGATTCGGATTTTGCGTAATTTCGTCTTTCGGGATTTGGGTTTGAAAGTCAATTCGTTTCGGGATTTGGACAAAATTTGTTAGCGGTAGTCTGTACGAATTTGCGTTTGTGGACTAATTTTCGTTGCAGGAAAGTGACAGAGGAAATGGAATACTTTTTTTTTTTTTACAGTCTGCGGAAGAGGAAAAAAAAAGCGTGAGGTCCCCCCCCAAATCATACAAGACCCATTAGGTCTGGTAGGAATGTTTGGAGGGACCCCCCAAGTTAAAACAAAAAAGTGCGTGGGGTTCCCCCCAAAATCCAAACCGGGGCCCTTTAGGAACCACAGCCCCCCTAAAATGGAAAAAAAATCCAGCGTCAATCTCGATGCACGACGCCTGCTGACCCGCTGAAATAAAAAAGTCCCATCGAATGACGACCGTCCGAACCCGATGAAAACTCCCCAAAAAATGACATCTCATGCCCGAAAGTAAACAGATGGGCCGATCGGTCTCATAATACGATTCATATGACACCTCGGCTCACAGACCCGAATGGCATTCGGGAGCTCATGAATGCTATGTGGTATTTGACAGCTGACAATGTCAACTGGGCAGAGCGAGCCCCGTGATGTCACGGCTCACTATGCCCGTCTGTTTACTTTTGGGCAGGAGATGTCATTTTTTTTTTTTGGGCGGGTCGGCGGGCGTCGTGCATCGTGATGGACGCTGGATTACATGGATAGAGCCATTTTTTTTAAATTAAAGGAATAGTAAAAAATTGACTTTGAATTTTAACCCTTTAGTGAATGAGAGGCCCTTGTTCCCATCGGCATGGGGACACCCTCCCAATGCCGAGGGCACATGGCCTGGTAAAGGAATAATGTCACCAGCACACCAGTTTTTGTTAGTCAATGATCTCCTCTTTCCTGTACTGCTGGGCCTGTGCTCGGATCAAGGGTCTGGTAGGAATGTATTTCCCCCCACATTTTGGGGCTGGGGTTCCCACTTAAAATTCCTACCAGACCTAAAGGGCCTGGTATGGATTTTGGGGGGAACCAATACATTGCTTGTATGTAAACAGGCATTGCTGCCTGTTTTTACATTTTGGCACGTGTGCCACGTGGCGTGCGCAAGTGGGCATGGCTAACGGGACGTTTAAAAAAGCCCGCTCAGATCCAGGAAGCTCCAGGCCTGCCATTCTTTTACAGCAGCTCTTGCAGAGAATATAGTAATAAACACAAATTATAATACAAACTCATCTGGAAAAAAATATTTAGAAAATGCTATGTGACACATTCTGATGACTACTGTGATACCTGTTGTGGCTGCTGGTGGGTGGAAGGCTTTTTAGGTGGCAAAAATCCTGTTTAGTTGGAAAGTGTTTACCATTATGTAATGGGGGATTCTACACTGACCACCAATGTAAGGGGCATTTCTACACTGACCACCAATGTAAGAGGGGATTCTACACTGACCACCAATGTAAGGGGCATTTCTACACTGACCACCAATGTAAGTAAGGATTCTACAATGACCACCACTATAAGAGGCATGTCTACACTGACCACCAAAGTAAGAGGGGATTCTACCATGACCACGATTGTAAGAGGCATGTCTACACTGACCACCAATGTAAGGAAGGATTCTACACTGACCACCACTATAAGAGGCATTTCTACACTGACCACCAAAGTAAGAGGGGATTCTACCATGACCACCAATGTAAGAGGCATTTCTACACTGACCACTAAAGTAAGGGGGGATTCTACACTAAACACCAATATAAGGAGTTATTCCACAATGATCCCCAATGTAGGGGGGATTCTACACATTTAATCACAATATAGCATATTACAATGCACAGCAATGTGTCACATTACTTTGCCATACTCTCCCACACAGTTTAATTCATGTTATTTTAAAAAGTAAAAATAAAAAATTAGGTACTGTGATGTGTTGATGCGAAAACCAAGTGACTTCTATCATTCAGCCCGCATTAGTCCATACAATCTATTTAAAGCCCAATTTCACCTTTGCATAGATTTTTTAAAAACAAAACATATGCCAGCAATGTAAACGGAGTGTACAATGGCTTGCAAAAATATTTTTATTTGGATTACATGTAATGGACATACACAAAATAGTCCAAAATGGTGAAGTGAAATCAATAAAATATCTTGTTTAAAAAAAAAAAGATAAACAATCAAAACTGGAAAAGTGGTGTGTGCATATGTTTTCACCCCTTTGCTATGAAGTCCCTACATTCAGAAGTCACATAATTAGTGAAGTAAAGACCACCGATGTACAATCTAAGTGTCACATGATCTCAGTATTCATACCTGTTCTGAAAGGCCCTAGAGTCTGCAACGCCACTGAACAAGGGGCACCACCAAGCAAGCAGCACCATAATGAACAAGGAGCTCTCCAAACAGGTCAGGGACAAAGTTGTGAAGAAGTACAGATCAGGGTTGGGTTATAAAAAAATATCCAAAACTTTGAACATCCCACAGAACACCATTAAATCCAATATTAAAAAATGGAAAGAATATGGCACCACAACAAACCTGCCAAGAGAGGGTCGCCCACCAAAACTAATGGACCAGGCAAGGAAGGCATTATTCAAAGAGGCAACAAAGTAGTATCTCTCCATAGGACACTTTAGCCCATACACTCCACAGAGCTGGCCTTCAGTGAGGAGTGGCCAGGAAAAAAGCCATTGTTTACAGAACAAATTAAGCAAACACATTTGCTGTTTGCCAAAAGGCAACTGGGGGAGACATACATATGAAAGAAGGTACTCTGGTCAGATGGGACTAAAATTGAGCTTTTTGGCTTTCAATGAAAATGCTATGTCTGGCACAAACCCAAGACCTCTCATCTCCCCAAGAACACCATCCCCACAATGTAGCATGGCGGTGGCAGCATCATGCTGTGGCGATGTTTTTCATCGGCAGGGACTGGCAAACTGGTCAGAATTTAAGGAATGTTGGATGGTGCTAAATACAGGGAAATACTGTATGTTTCAGTCTGTCAGAGATTTGAGATTGGGACAGAGGTTCACCTTCCAGCAGGACAATGACCCTAAGCATACTTCTAAAGCAACACTCGAGTGGAATGGCCTAGTCAAAGCCCATAACCTAATCCAATTGAGAATCTGTGGCATGACTTAAAAATTGCTGTACACCAGTAAAACCCATCCAACTTGAAGGAGCTGGAGCAGTTTTACCTTGAAGAATGGGAAACAATCCCAGTGGATAGGTTTTCTTTTGACTTATTTCTTGTTTGTATCACAATAAAAATATTTTGCATCTTCATTGTGGTAGGCATGTTGTGTAAATCAAATGATA